CTGGGGGGGGTGGGGGGGATGCCAGGGCTCTGCTGTGGTGGTGGGAGCACAGGACTACAGCCAGGCAGGAACTGAACGCAGCACCCGCTTGCTAGCATCTCATGATCAAAGGATGCTGCGTTTCACCTCCCGGAGTTACTTCTTTGCAAAAGAGACACGAGTGGATTTTGGAAGTAGAAATACTGACGCGTGGGGTGGGATGCAGAAGCAAGGCAAGGGCACAACACCCTGGCTCAGACATACCACAGGAGCCTCTAGAGCCTTCAGAACCTGCCAGGACCCTCCAACGAGGGAGGACCCGGGACTGCTTCCACCTCAGAAACAAGAGCCCCTACCCGAGCTATCATCAGCTCTTCCTCCAGCGGCTCGAAATAGCAGGAGGGAAGCCCTTCAGCTGCATCGTGAATCATCCCTGCAGGGCAGAGCGGTTATTTTTATGGTGCTCTGGCTCGCGTGGAGCCACCAACGCGTTCCTCCCCCACCGAAGATGGGCTGCAGTGTCTCAGGAGGGGACACGGTCCTGTCCCTGCAGGGGCACCTGCCTTCTCTGGGACCACGAGTCCGAAGGACTGATCATCCTATGAGGTTCCCTATGAGGGGAATATGATGGAGAACACCATCAGGGAAGGTCACCTTTGCCTGGGGGAAGAAGGAAAAGCTGTGCTGCTACTTGAAGGTAGCTCGCTGCAGGGGACAGCCCTGCAGAGCTGGCTCCTGGGATATCCCACCTCCCTCTCGCCAGGGCCTCTCCGCTCAGGGCAGCATTGCAGGTCACCACCAACCTCCAGGAAAACAAAACTAAAAGGGGCAGATGAGGAGGAGGGCCGGATCTTGCAAAGCGCAGGGCCGAGGGCACGTTGGCACACGGCTGGGCGCCCCACAGTAAATCATAAAATCCGCAGCACCTCAGGTCACAAACATCGACTTTGTAAAGAAGGATGCAGCAGGGGCATCCTGCCCACCCTGCTCTCCCCATCCTCTGTGGGGCAGGAACCCCACGGACCAGAGCAGCAGCAGAGGTTTTTTCATTTAATCGCCTGAAAAAGTGGGGTTTGCCACAATTCTCCATGCATGTCCTGCCGCCCTGGCACCTGCCAGCATCCCATTCCCAGGGCAGGAGAGGGGCGAGCTTATGCAACACAGTCTGGGGTGAAATATTTATCAGACTGCCTAAAGAAGAAACAGGCAGGAGGCTGGGCAGGAAGAGGAGAGAAACACGGGAAGGAAGTGGCACGTCCCAGCCCGCTTCTGGGGTGGGGGCCACAGTCCCCCTGGGCCCGCTCCAGGCTGCTGGGGGTCCC